GAAGGAGTTGAGGTCGGATTTGTTGCACCGTAATTTATACATTTCACGCGTCCCTTGTTACTGTCCGACTTTCCGCGTCGCGAGATAACTTCATGTTTCGCGAGGTGAAATCGGACGAGGACGGACAGTGTTTCACACATTTGGTTGTTTTTAATCTGATTCGGTAGCAGACGTATACGTATTGCAGTAACAATAGGTTTCACGACTCGGCTGGTTGTTTAAATTCTCGCCTTCATGTATTTTCCTGAGACACGAGATCCAGGATATTTCAAATGACTTCCGGTTCACAGGTGGTTTGGCATCGGTGGAGCTTTTGGTACTTTTCTTTTTTGGCAATTAACGAGTGTCCGGATAACTCGTTAACTTTTTTCACGTTCCGATGCGAATTAATGAAATTTCATGGGGATGAATTAGTATCGATCCGCTGCTTTGACAGCCGTCCGAAACGCGCCAACCTCATTATCCCGGCTCGCTTGTTATCTTAAGGACAAGTACTATATCCTGACAACCTCTGTCTCGGAAGAAGGTTGAACGAGTTTATTTTCGCTCGACTCTATTTGTAAAGAGCCACGAAGCCATCCTGTTTCATAATCCAATTTTCGCGCAAGATGCGACAGAAAACCTAACGCAATTTCCGGATAAAGCAGTATAAACATGATACATTGGAGCATAAAATTCATCTTATCGAGAAAAAAAATCAATTTTGAAGCCGAGAAATCTCATTACGAAAATTATCCTGGTTTTACGAACATTACGAATAAAAAAAATGCGGTCGATAAAAAGAGAGAAAGACTTTAATTAAGGTATATTTAAGCTCGCATCGTCCAGATATGCTTAATCTTCGCGTTGAGACTCGCAATGATCTCCTCGTTAGAGGCACAGAATCAAATTTAATCACGTCTGCAGCGACTGCAGCGGCGTGCAGATGCTCGCGTTTCGCGCAAGTAACGTTACAACATATCGAGCAGAGACCCACGTTCATCTATTACTTACACCAGAAAATACGTTGGCAAATTTGTCTGAGTCTAAACACGTATAAATTGCGCGAGGTGATGCAATGTACCATCGCAGTAAATCATTTGCCATTGCAATATTAATCATTGCGCGCACAAAATAAATAAAGCATTTTATTTCACGTTTATTTTTATTGCGGTTTCAATGGTCAGCGAGAAAGCCAAATGTACATGAATTCTCGATCAGCTTAATTTTCTCTTAAATCCGCGATAGAATGTGGATTTTACTGATAACTAGACGATTCCAATTGTGAACTATAATTCTCGCGAGTGTCTAAATGACATTTTGATAAAATTACAAATGTGTACAGAATAAAATTATGAATGAATGAAGTTGAACAAGAATGAAACAAAATTGTGAATGTGAAAAGTATGTGCGTACGTTCTCATTCATCATTTTTTGCACGTGCAAGACTGAAATTATCAAATATTCCGGGTATGATCATTGGATGAATAATGGTTGCGCTACGAGTTTACCGTTGCAAATTTCGCAAGAGTTGAGGCAAGATACGCGAAGTTTCGGTATTGTTTCTCCACGGGCGAATCTATCATGAAGGGATACGAATGCTGACGGATGCGCGCGTTCGACAACTTTAATTACGTCTCTCTCGTTTGGTTGTATATTCTGGGAAGCGAGAGGAAGAGAGAAAAAGAGAGAGAGAGAGAGATTCGACGAAGTTGCGTTGTCCTAATTAACTATATATTCAACCGAAACGTATTTTCGCGGAATTTTCACGCGGTGGAGTGCAGTTGAATCTCTCGAGTGGGAGATACGCGTTTCGACGAATTCAACGATTACGATTTACTGCAATTTTTCTCGATTTCTTCCTCGCCGAGAGCCCTCGAGAAGCCTCGCAAGCTCGCAACAGCACTCCACTTTATATCAGTTTATCACGTACGCTCCATTTACCTTCCTGGGACTTAACTTTTTAAATCTACCTTCTGTATCGCGCTCTTTTTTTCTCATTCCTCCTCCGTGCGGGTTCCATGAAAAAATATATTCCTTCTCCCCCCCCCTCCCCCCCCTCCCGACCTGCCCGGTGCAGAGTCGTTTTAAAACGACGCGTCAGAAACGCGACTTTTTTGCAAACAAATTTACACTTAAGTCAAAACAAAAAAAAATTTCACATTTTTAACTCCGACTCCGTCGTTTATTTTTAGCGTGCGGGGCGATGCACAAGGAGAAATTCTGCGCGGCGTGAAAACTGCGAGGGGATCAAGAGAAATCCAGAGCGGCGGAGATTCCGAGTCGTATCTCCTCTCCGTAATGATTCTCTCAGTGTTGCTCTCTCTCCTCTCTCTCTCCTCTCTCTCTCTCTCTCTCTCTCTCTCTCGCATAGAACTTTCCAAATACTTCCTCGCGCGCAGTTCTCCGCACCTGTATTCTTTCTTCTTTTTGTTTTTTATCAAATGAGCTTCTGGCCACAGCAGAGAAAAAGTGTTTACGTTTACAGAAGAAGGTACGCCGAGGCTCACCGATTTACCGGCAAAAGCCGCCGCTCGTTGCAATAGCGGAACTTAAGTAGTTACGCGAGTAAATCTTCTTTACATTAAAGTTCCCGAATCACCCTGAAGTTACCGCGATCGGCTGGTAAGCAACGTACAAACTGATCGTTTAAGGAAACACTCCTACCATCAACCCCTGAGTGGCTGCGCCGCGGAGAAGCAACAACTTGACCCAATCTTCACGATCACCCTCGATCATACCCTTGGCGGTAGCCTTTCGCGTCGCGTCAGAAGAGAAATTATTTTGGCCAAATTCTTCTATCGAGTCTCGAGTTTGTGGAAGGAATTAAAGCATGCACTCTCGAGAAAGAGGCGAGAAATAATACGCATAAATGGAAAAGGGGAGAGACGCCTCTCAAATTGAGTTGTGTCATAAACGTGGCCGCGTCACGTCTTTAAAATCTCACTCGTGTGCTCTCTTAAAAGTTTTCCTCTGGACGTAGGGTACACAAACCAATGTTTTCGCTCAAATATTTGCCCGGCTTTAACGTCGTTCCCTTAACAGAGATTCATATATATATCCCCGGGTCCGCTGAAATCTTCCGCGGGATCGTGTTTCTCATGAAAAACCGCGCGGTGTATTTTACCACCGCAAAATTGCACTTACTTATTAACACATTGCGTCGCATAACACAACAAGACTGAAAAGGAAAGATTTTCATTTTGTTTTGTATCGAGATAAACGCTACGAGAGACATGAGTTAAGATGTCAGAGGAATTTTTCCACTATATGAGAAGTTAAAATATTTTAACTGTAAAATTCGTATTTCTTTTTAATAGTTTTATATATCAAGAACATTTGCTTCGTCGCTCCGTTTATATAACATCGTCACGAATTACACGAAACACTTATTGCAGTATGTTTACTGAATTAAGTTATTTGTGCGATGTTATTCACGAAAGCAACGTGGGAAACGTAAAATGCATTATCCCAGATGTCGTTTTGACTAATCACGTCATCCTATGAATAATACGAATTTACTTTTAAGCTGACAAAGTAATTAGAGTTGCTAACGAGATGAAGTTGTGTATTGGAGATATCGGTGCAAATATGCTGACGCGTGCGCGCGCGCGCGTGTGTGTGTGTGTGTGTGTGTGCTACAAAAATAGAATATCTGTTTTAAAATAAGAATACCTAATGTCTCATTTAAATATGAAATATAAATGGTAAAAACACGTGCATTATTTTTACGCGATAATTCTATTTTAATTCCAATTTTTTATTCCGGAACTTTTTGCGTTCATCGCAACACTTGCAAATTATCGTGTTTATAAAAACTGCCTTAGATGAGTCTATTCCATAATTCGTAAGACTTGTTCTTTTTTTTCTCTTTGTTTCACAATGTCATATTAAAACTATTCTCGATTTATTGAACTTACAACTCGTTTTTTTTGCTCTATTTTCAAGCGCAAAAATACAGCGAATTCGATAGTCGTTCATTGAAAAATGGCAGCTAACGGGGCGTGTAATTCGCATTTTTTTGGAGCAGCAAGATTCCGAAGGTTCGCGTGTCCATGACTCGGGACACATAAGAATCGATCTCCCTTCAAATAAAATAGAGCACACCCCTTTTCGCGAACCGTTTGTACCTTTTTCCCATCCCATTCATTTCTCCATTTACCGCCGACGACAAAACTTTGAACATGATCGAGAAAATATTTTTCGTCCTCGCCGATCGTACTTCTATGCACTGATTGAGCCAATTTTACTCTCATTTTTTGCGATATCGGTGCACACCTTTCTCCGTTTTATTTCTTTCCCTTCTTTCCTCCGGCTTTTTGTTCTACCCTTAGACGACGAGAAAAATCTCCGGTCGATGTAAATTTCTCGTGAAAGGAAGGAAAAGCGTCGATAGAAATCCAATCATTAGGTAAAACAAGTTTCGTAACTAAATAACAAAGGTAGGGAACTAAAAGCACTCATTTCAAATTAAAAGTATGAAACAAAAGCGTACCTTGAAAATAAGCTTCGCATGAATAATCTCTCGTTTTTGCAATATCAAGCACTGCCTCGCAATTCGTTCAAAAGAACTTTATTTTCTCTTGCGCGAACGTTATCGCTTTCGCTGCGAATATCAATAATCCAGCTACGCGCGTTTGATAGAATTTTAATGCACAATTCATATCTTTGGTCTTTCGTAATTTTTGTTTTGTCACGACTCGTATAACACGTCGTATTTGTAGAAGTAAGCGTCCTAAATTCAGGCATAAGCGAATACTCCGATATGTTTGTTCCGCGATATCTGATATTCGTCCGAAGTGTTCGCCTCGACAAACAACCACGAAAAACAGTCCGTTCCGTTTTCCTCGGAGCCAACTGACGTCTGTTGTGGACGAGCGCGGGAATCCTCGCTTACATATCACCGCCTGTTTCGTTGAATTTATTCATCATCAGGTTGCGGGGGCGGAAAGATAGGGGGAGGGAGAAGGGGGGACGGGGGAAGAGCAGCTCGCGCGTGCGTGAGCGCGGGGGTGGCTCACCTGGAAAATGGTGACCTTCTTCAGCACGGAGAGGTTCACGTGCAACGCCAGCTCGGTCTTGAGCTTGTCCGGGAGTAGACCGAGGGCGGTGTTGATGTCACCACCGCCCTGTATCCTGCCGCGCGACCAGCTGTAGTCGTACCACCTGAGCACCCGCCGTTTCATACCGCCCGGCACCTTGTGGTGCCTCATGTATGTCTTGGCGCCGTCCAGGAGCCTCTCGAACTCGAGACGGTTCGCGTTCCTGTTCGTGATGACATTGCCAACCTGGCCGACGATGGTCGCGAATATGAAGACGCCGATCAAGTAGCTGACTATCGTGAAGACGTACCTGCGAATCAGGAAGGGAGAAAGAGAGCCGATCAGTCCGAGGGGATGTGATCAGTGTCCTCCGTTTATGGACGAGCGGCCCCCGCCGGAGCCTTCCTCCTCTTTCTCTCTTTTTTATTTTCTCCCTTCTTTCTTACTTGCCTTCCTCGCGTTCGTTCCTCTCTCCCTCTCTCTCTCTTTCTCTCTCTCGAATCATGTCCTTTCATTCTCTCCCTCGTGCAACCCCTGTCTCTTTCCATGTCGTACATCATCTCTATCACACACACACACACACACACACACACACTGATGCAGATACACGTACACACGCCCATGTATACACAGACACACGAACAACCGCAAACAAGCCGCTCTCGTACTCCTGCGTTTGATCTCTTTGCCGATTCGTAAAACGGAAAGAGCGACGATGAAACTTTGCATTCGGCCGCAGAGCCATTCGTTGGTATTCTGACCGAACGTGATTGCTGAATCGATGAATAGTCGAGTGTCATTACGAATCGTTAAAATTCCCTGATTCCCAAGCTGGAGACTTAACGAACTCGGAAACTTAGAATTCGCTCCTGGCACAACTTGTCAATGGCTAACCGAACGTTCACACATTCTAAACAACGCATATCTAATTCAACAATTTTTCAAAAATTTCGCAATCGATATAGATTCCGGCATTTTAAAGCTATGGATCTTTAAAAATTTACAATGTACTTTACAATCAGCTTTCAAAGGCTTTAAGAAAAATATTCGCTGGTGTATAAATTTTACATTTTTTTTAATGGATTTTGCGTAGCCAAGTTTTATCCGATTGGATTCTACATGGCCTAGTTCCATCGATAATTCACAATTGAAAGTAATAGACTTTTAGCAAGCCCACAGCTTACGAGAAAAAGAAGGACGACGGAGAATCATATTCTTCAAATAATCTCAAATTTCATTTAGTTGAGAATTTATGAGATTTACAAGTGAGCTGTGTAGTTAAAACAACGTTCCGTGATTTCGGGACACTCCGCGAATTCTCTCTAATGGCCCACCGATTCGACCCTTCTGACCGACATACTCGCACAACCGACAGTTTAGCTCTTTGCCCTGTTCGTCTACATTTCACGATTCACCGTTTCCTCTAAAGATACTCTTTCCGCTTTTCGTGTATCGACACACAACTGGTACTGACACATGCACACGTACACACATACTCAGATATACGAAAAGCATATACACACGCGCACACATTAGCACCCTTTTTCCGTTTTTCATCAACGGCCTCAAATCGACTCGATTTTCTAAGGAAAGCACCCTTTCTTCGTTTTGTCCCTTCCGGCACGGAATTCTCGCGCTTCCGCCGGCCTCGAACTTTCCCCCCTTTCAGTGTTTCTCCCATACGTTCATCCGCCTGTGATGGCCTTTCCCCGCCCCTCGACCCATCAGCGCCAAGGATGGGCGATGTTCTGTATCGATTAATCAGTACTCGATGAATTTTCTTTTTATTCAAACCTCGATTATTTCTTCAATATCTTATAAGACGGAAATAATTGGTATTAATTATATACCCATTTACACAATGGTCGATTACGTAAATATTTTTTCAGATTGATTAAATGAAAATCAATAGCAATTAGCTCATTTACGAAAAACATATAGAAAATCAAATTAAGATTCGTACTGATTTGATTAAATATTTTGTCGTGTGATTGGTTATCGATTTTCCATCTTAACATCGCTCATTCCTGGATCGCTTCACATTTTTTCGCTTTGAATTAATTTCTACTCCCATCATTTCGAACATCACGATTTAACTCCTTTTTCATCGTTCAATACGTTGAAATGCACGCGCACGAATGTTCATTTGATCTTTCCGCCTTGCTAATCAAACTGCCGCGTATTTTTTCATGCATTTGTGCTCTCGCACACTGTTTTTTTTCTCGCAAAGTCGCGTTCGCACCACGAGTCGTGTATTTTTTTGCTCGTTTTTCGCTGTTCACGTTCGGTGATTTTCATTTTATCATCTTCGAATTTTTAAATAAATCGCAAATGATGAATAGGATCAGCGCGAATTTTAAAATCTTAATTGAGTATTATTGAACGTTTTTCTTTCAATAAAACACTTGAATTATACTAACGCGTATAATTGAAAAAAGTTTCAATTAAATCTTGTAATAAAATAATATAAATTTTGTGTGCGTGCATATAAAAGATTAAATTTATTCAAAAACTTTGTAGAGAGATGAATTTCTGCGTTCGTTAAATGGATTGAAAATCGCAGTTTATCTGTCATGCGACGCTCTTTCTCTTAACAGAAATAAATTGCTCATTTCTTAAGAGTTTGCAACTGAAGAAAATTGTTTATTCCTTGAAACTTCGTAACTAGGGAGATTCGTATCTACTGTGTAATCAATTCCGTTATCTCGGCGTAAGTACGAGTACTCTTCGTCTTCTAGAAGTCGCCAGCAACGACCGACTAACAAATATCGTTCTAGGTACGTGACGCATAGATGTTGTCAGGATAATTCAATTGTTTACTGAAAAATTATTTATCGTTGACTCGATGTTTTCTTAATGCAAAAATCCACTTTAAAGTAACAAAATCCTTTGAGTGGCAGGAAGCGTAATTAATTCAGAGTACTCCTCTCCTCCGATCTCCCTCGTCTATTTTAATCTTAAACGTGACATCTAGTTCCGTCGTTCAGTTAAACTTAAAGACTTGGAATAGCGCGAGTAAACAAGCGTGTGAATCAAGCAGACACACGCCATAATCTGCGACAATTTACAGAAGCGCGGTTAGCTCGACGAAACTATCGAAGATCGAAAGCGGAAGGCTTGACCTCTCCCCTCCCCCTCCCCCTCCCCCCGCCATTCCTTTAAGGAAAACCCCCGAGGGCTGCGGGTCCGCTGTCGAATCGTCGTGTGAATGCAGTTTGTGATTCGCTCGATGTAACTCGAGGTAAAGCGAGATCAAATTTGATCCCAGCTAAAATGAAATTCCCGATCGATCGTTCTCTCGTTGTCCTAGAGAGTCCTGCAGACAAATTGATCTTTCTGCAGGTGCAGAATACTCGTCTGGTCATTAAACGATCTCGCGGCCGGGCTACGAGCCGAGGATGCAAGCAGTCGGAAAACATGTGTGGAATCAGCGGCACTTAAGCCGAAAAGTTCGCCGAACGTCACGCGACGATTCGTTTCTCGCGTGCGTGAAAATGATCGTCGTTTGTTTCATCACGAGTGATTTCCATCGATTTATTCCCTCAGTTTACGCGCGCGTTAGTAAATTTTTTATATTATATTTTATGTACAAGACAAGTCAATTAGTGAAACAAAGATAAAAGAATATTTGTCATAGCGACGCATATTTTTAGTTTAGAAAATATCTTAGCTCTGGGTACATGTACGACGTCTCGTGTTAGACCGCGTTTCTGTTAAAGCGACAAAGGGGCGCGTGTATTGTACCGAGCACCGCACAAACTTGTTTTGCCGGCGGCACAAGTTTCGCGGAAGACCCTCGCAATTTCTCGGCCGCTTGGGTTAGCGTGCCAACGGCTTATGAGCTTTATCGTTCATCGCCATTCTAATTGGCGAGACCCGCTGTCAACTTTAAAACCAGAGAGTGAGTGAGAAAGAGAGACAGAGAATGAAAGAGAGAAAGAGAGAGAGATGTCTATTCCGACGAGATCTGCAAAGTCCCTTTTAGCGTTTCACGTGCGGACGCGCTTGGTAATCCTCGATATTTTAATCAAGTAGGCAGTAGGCAAAGCAATCTCGCAGGTCTCATTCCGTTGAATTGTCTCGTAAAGCGAATTCGAAAGGTCCGACGTTGGGTAACCCCTCGGCTCACTCCTCGAAGATGCTCCACGCAATACTCGTCTGAGGGAGGACTTTAATTCTCGAGAAATTAGCTTTCCATCGGCCGATGACGAGTCCGCGCCTTTACAATTTATTTCTTTGCACAGGAAGATGAGATGGCTCGACAATATGATATTGTTGGTGTGTAAATAATTGTATATTGATACTGCAAACGGTAGAAAAGTTTTGTAATAGCGCTATTGATTAAGCTGTATTATCGCTCAGAAAGTATGAAGTATTAAGTAGATGCGTGATATCGAATAGACTTTTCAAATTAAACGACGTCATTGAGACTTTTAAATCGAGTTTCTCACAATGCCAACGTGTTCGGGTGCCTGAGTAATTAATCTGCTTCTAAGAAGAGCGATAATCCGCGCGACATTGTCTCGCTGAGTTCATTTCTCATTGTTCCCTCGAGGTCATTTTGATGCTGCGTTCGATACTTTGTTATTACTTTCGACGTGAAAACGCGTACAGAATGTATTAAAAAATGAAGCTACTTAAGAGAGCAAGAAGTTAGAAAAAAGTAAACATATCCTTATTCTCATAACTTTGTTTGGGTCATTTGAGTGTCAAAATAGTATTGAGTCTAAGTCGCTCTACCTATCTTTCAGTAAAATTATAATTCTTAGCTTCTCTCTTTGTTTCACGTGTAAAAAAAATTAATGTTTTTCTTTCCACAATTCTTTACAAGATATCTATCTTCATTTGCTTTCTTTGTTCATTCTCATCGCAAAATATTATTGCAATAATTATTCGCAACTTTAATATCTTTTACAATAAATTTATACAAATATTTAGAGAGAAAATTCTCTCTGTTAAAACATTCATTTTATTCATTCGGAATATTTTCAGAATCCATAATTTTGTTTGGCATTGCAGAAGAAAAAGAGATCGAGAATGGCCGTTTTGAATAATATCGAAATTTTCACGCTTTATGTAACTTGTACATATATCAGAGGTACGCGAACGTTTGACATCACATCACCATTTCGAAGTTTTCCGCGTGTTAATTTGTGGAGTGGAAAATTCGCGGACGGCATTCGGTCGCCGACCGATAAATCGATTCGCGTCGTTGCAACACGCGTCGCCCGCTGAGTTACTATTACGTGACGGATACACGATAATTCCGCTAAGTCAAGGTTTGCTACTTCGCTCCGCCGTGCACGTCCG